TCGAGCCGTGTGGACATTATAATTTTATACACAATATTGAGCCGTGTGGTGATCTTTACATTATGCACGATTTTTGAGCCGTGCAGACATTATAATAATTTATACATAATATTATTATATAATGAATATAAATTTTTGATGTTCATCACATGGGCCAAGCAATAAATTTTCAGAAAAATTTATTTCATTGACCTCTGAGCCATATGAGAGCTATTGAGTCGTGCTGAACAAGAAAAATAACCGACTCGCAAGCTAAAAAATCGCACGGCTGGAAAAGTGATTAGAAATCTCCACGACATTTTTAATGACTGAACGATTCTCACACACCACCATGTAATCAAATGATCCGCCCTATGATCCGAATTCACACTCAACTAAGGATTTGATCGTCCCTGAACTCGAATTACTCTTCTATTCGAGTAGAACTCGTATAAAAGAGTGGGGGGAGGGGGGGGGCAAATTGTAGTGGTAAAAATCAACTTACTAGTTCAAGTGGCCCAAACCATAGAACAGGGTCTACAGACGATTCAACCGCGCCATCATTGGCCCAACTCATTATAACAATCGACCTGAATATGCAATCCAAGACCCACATGTCAATTCGAAATCTCCGATAATCTATCTTTCAGATAGATCACGTTACAACCTATCCAGATCTGGTGAGAGTTATCTACAAACGGATCTGATATCTCAATTGAATAGATCGAATTAAATTTGGCTCCAGCCAACCATGAAATCTCGGAGAATCCCTGCCAATCCCTCCTAGAAGGTTACCCTACTCGTATAAATTCAGCCGTCGGTCGAGCATTCAGGTATCAGAATCCGCTAGACTCTAATTCATTTCTTCTTTCTTCCATCTGGCATTTATCAAACTTTCAACGAGATTTACTGACTTGATCGTAGGGGGGTTTTCGTCCGACACCACACCGGTGTCATTTTAAGATCTTTTTAAGGTCATTTTCCTTTGTTCAATTTTCTTGAGTTCCTAGGATTGCTAGTGGCCTACCGGTGGACGTGGACATTTTTAACCCATTGTCATTTCAAAACATTTTTTGAGCAATTAAGCTTCAAATTGTTTGAGCGATTGCTGGAATTTTTGGTGGAGTGATTTGAAACATTGTGACACTCTCCATAACACCTTGCATTTCATTTTTGGCATCCATGATATTGAGGTTGTCCGGAAAAGATTTGATTTGAGGATCGCCAATCCAAAAAATCCCTCCCAAGTGGCCTATTTCACAAGCATTTTTCGATGTTAATCCAAACTCTACGGGTAACTGACAGGGCTAGAATTAGTTAATAAAAGTGGAAGGTGTTTTATAAATGCTAAGATTTTAGTTAAATGTAAAGTCCAAAAAATATTAAAGGTCAAAAAGTATTTAATGAGGATAAATATTGGTGGATTAATTTTAAGGTGATAGATTTTATTTGATTTTAATTTTATTCTTGTGTATTTAAGCCTTTGTTTGGATTCTATTTTATTCAAAATTCAATCTTCTCTATTCCTTTCAATTACACATTTTTCAATAAATTAATATTACAAGTAGATTTAAAATTTTCTTTCTTTTTAACTGCACGTTCTTCGAAAACATCATTCCAAATTATATTTTTTCCCAAATTTTGGTTTTACTTGAGCCCAAACAAGGGCTAATTAATTTTAAATGGGGATATATATATATATATATATATATAACCATCACATTATTTTCCCATTAAATTGAAAAATATGAATGTTATCAATTATATCAAGTCATCAAATTTGAATTTTTATCTCTTGTGCGGGATCCATAACGACTATATTTTTCATTCTCATTTTTACAAAAATGAGAAACAAACGCTAACTAAATATATTCACACCACAATTTTTATTAACTAACTACATTAGGTCTCAAACTTTTTTCATTGCATTTTTACTCTAAAATAAACATAAATTATTCTGATTAAGATTTCACTCCTAAATTTTCTTTTAGGTAGAGTAAAAAGACTCTTTTGCATATTGTGTTTTTAATTGAGCAAAATAATAATAATAATAATAATAATAATAATAATAATAATAATAATAATAATAATGCAAAAATACAATAGAATAGTTGGATGAAAATTATGATCAAGAACAAATATTTTATAATTAATAAAATGTTAGAAATAAAAATGTGATAAAAAGGTTAAGATATAAGTATGACAATAAGTAAAAATCAATGGCTTTCGATTTAATTAAAATGTGGTCTATTTATGAAAATAGCGATTCCATTTTTATTTGTTAAAGAAATATATTTGATCAAATCAAATCCACAAAAAGCAGTTCAATTAAGCGGGAAAACTTTCATAATTTGAAATTTAAATCTGACGATCATCATCAAACCACCTATTTATTTGTTTCCAAAATAAACTTTAATCCTCCCTGACTTCCTCGACAATACTCTCTCTCTCTCTCTCTCTCTCTCTCTCTTTCTGCGCAATCTTTTCTTCCCCCCTACAGCTACTCTCCCCGCGCCAGATCAAAGGTTCATTTCACGCGTGTATGATGTTTTTCAATTATTCGATAATTAAACTAGGGTTCTTCTTCAATTTTAGTTTCAATTTTTCAATTATTTTTGCAGACTGATAGTTTAAGAACTAAAGCGAAGAGTGGGTTTGAAGTAAATACGAAATGGGTCAGATCCAGTACTCCGAGAAGTACTTCGATGACACTTATGAGTACAGGTATGATTTTAAATTATCGTACTTTTTCCATTTCTTTGGTTATTTATTTTTCGAATGATTTTTGGGGGATTATGGAATTTTCAGGCACGTGGTTCTTCCACCAGAAGTGGCCAAACTACTTCCCAAGAATCGACTTCTCTCTGAAGTAATTATCTATCTATTTCTGCTTATATATAGCTAGGGTTTACATTTATGATTTTTCAAATTTTCAGGAGAACGTTTGATTTTCATGGCTTGGTTAACCAGAAAATCGAAATGCGTATATAATTGAGGTTTATAGTACATGTAGATTCTTCATTCGGATTTATTTGGTTTTCATTGTGAAACAGAAAACATGACATCATAAACGAGTTAACGTTTTCATTGATATTCTCTGCCTGATCAAACAAGATTAGCGAGATAACTGCAAGATTACACTATATTTTATTTAGTTCATCTCATAGTCTTTTATTTGCGTTATAAGTCTGTAATTTTCTTCATTCTTGTAATTTTGAGAACTGGGTTTTGTGTTTTTACAAGAAATGTACCTGGAGTTGATTTTTTCTTAACAAACAAAGTTTCTGAAGATTTGTATTCATTTGTTTCATTCTTGTAAGTTTGGGAATTGGGTGTTCTTATTTTCCAAGTAAGAGTATACTGAGTTGATTCTTTTTAGATATTGTTTCTCTATGTTTGCTAGACTGAATGGCGTGCAATTGGCGTTCAGCAAAGCCGTGGATGGGTTCACTATGCAATTCACCGACCAGAACCACACATCATGCTCTTCAGAAGGACTCTGAATTATCAGCAGCAGCAGGAAAACCAAGCTCAGTAAAAACGTGTTTGCCAGATGAATAGCCTTTACTCTGGTTTTCACTTTTCTTAAGTTGTATTACATATATTGTCTGTTTGATCTTTTAGAAATGAAATCAGAATACGAAATATAGTCTGTACTTTGAGTGAATGTTGGTGAAAATGTCTAGTGATACGCTATGGAGAATTTCAGTGACTTTGACATCACTAGTATGGTTTAGTAGTATTTCATATGCTGTGCTGAAGTCCTTTTTACTTCACTCTTGGTTTATTGTTAATGGTTTTGTTGCTTTTATCATGTTTTGGTATCCCTTGCAGTTGTTAAATGTTCTAGAGACTTCACATATTTGCTCTTTTTATCTTAGGGATCCAATATTTCCGAGCAATGGTAAGTGAAATGGCACATTAGTGGTCTGGAGGTCTGAAGATATAGGTTAATAATTTCTTGGTTGGTTATGTATTTTGCTTCGTTTGAAAGGTGGCATTTAAAATATTTGGCAACTGTCAGATGTGTGCAATAATAATTAGGATTTTGATTAAAGTTTAATATGTTTCAATTAGTGCTTATAGTTTCCTTACTAGCTATAGAATTTTTTTATGCTTGGTCTAGATTGTGCTGAATATGAACAAGAATTTCCTTTGATTTGTAATTTGATGGTGAGTTATTTGAGAAACTTAGCTTTCTCATTGCACAAATATTGAAATTTATGCTTTTAAAAAAGGTTCAGCTTCATCTTTAACTTGTGATGTGAATTTTTTGTGTGCACGTTATTTTTAGGATTTAAATATTGCTACTTTTTTGCTTCTTATATTGTGGTCTTGAGTACGATAAGTTATTATAACATGAGACTTTATCTTCATAAACTCAGCCTATTCTTCGTGTGCATTGGAAATATCTGAATGTGCATTGATTACTTTCCTAATTGCCTGTTGCTTTTTACATCTTTGAAAGAATAATGACATTTGCAGTTATTTAATATTGCAATTGCTTTATAGGGCATATATGTGGCGGTTAGTGATTTATTGTCACATAAGACAATTATGGTAATGAGTGATTACAAATAACATTACTTTCTTTGAAATAGGATATGGTTCATCCAATATATATTTTCTCTACATTTTTTCTCAATATTTGGGATAACATTGCATTTTTTGTGCACGATATTGGAATGGACTTGTTAGCATAGGTCAAGATTTCAACTTCCTATTTTTTATTGCATCCGGTAGACATGCAATATGCCATTGATTAATATGTTTATTAAGGATTGTCTTATTCTTTTCCTGCAGAAACCTTGGAGTTCATGAGAATGTGCAAAAACTTAAATTTAGCCCTTGTTTGAGCCTCATTTAAAAAAAATAAATATATTTTTCAACAGTATTTTGATATTATTTTAATAATTCATTATTCAATAAAATAATATTACATGTAAATAAAAAAATTTCTTTATTTTTTAACCATACATTTTTTATTAATACACTATTCAAAAATTCATTCTTTTAAAAAAAAATGGGGCTCAAGCAGGGGTTTAATAAATCTTTGCACATTACATCCTCTCCCAATGATTTACACACCTATGTACCAAAATTGAAATTTTTGCTCCTTAGTTTTAGAATATATCATTTGTAAACATGGATTTTAATTGCTTGTGGTTAAAAGCTTGAAGAGGGCCGTTAAGTTTGTATTTATTGTTTATTTCACTATAAATGTAGTCTAAATGGGATTGCAACCTCAATTTAGATAGTGCTAATGGAGCATTAATTGTTAGATAAAATTAAATAATTTATTCAATTTTACATTTCATGTAAATTATCATCTAATGCTACTTAGATTGGGGTTGCAAACCTAGTAATTTATTTAATTTCATATTATTTAATCTATCATCTAATGTCATTTAAATTGGGCTTGCAACCTTAGTAGGGCTATAAAACGTTAAGGCATTGAGGTTGTACTCTAATTTAGATGAGGTTAATGTGACATTAATTGATAGATAAAATTAAATAATTCATTTAATTTCATATTTAATTTATTATGTAGTGTCACTTAGATTGAGATTGCAATTCCAGAGGAGCTATGTAGCGTTACTCTTATAAGTTTGATGCCAAATAGGAATTTATTTCATTTAAGATGAATTTTTATATAAATATTATTGATTAGTCTCTTCATATAAGTCTTGAATTCTATGGTATCGTGTTCCTCCTATTCCAATGGACAGAAAATAACATGTTTGTGATTTTTCTTCTTTATGATGCCAGACTATAAACTTTGTTAGATTTGGGACTAAATAAAAGAATTAGGCTATATTGTTAGGCCACACACCTTATAGGTGTTTCACAGGCTCTTCACAATGAGTGGGTCAACCCTACTTTTTGCAATTTTTTATTACATGTGGGACCGAGGTGGGGCCCAACTTAGTGTGAGGAGCCTGTAGTGAATAAGAGCATGTTTGATATATATAAGACACGATGTTAGTCAATTCTTTAACATATTGTGCCTTTTTCTTTTTCCTTTTTTTCCTCTGTTGGGACTCGAGGCCAATTTTATTAAATAAGAGCATCTTTGGTATATAAGACATGGCAATAGTCAACTTGCAAATGTATCACATGCTTTCCTTTATTCTTTGTCGAAATTTTATGTAACAATTTTGTTAAATAAGAGCTTGTTTGGTATATAAGACACGACAATAGTCAACTCACAAACATATTGTACTTTTTTCTTTCTTCTTTGTCGGGACTCAAGATTAATTTTATTAAATAAGAGCATTTTGGTATATATAAGACAAAGAGATAGTCAACCCGACAAATAAGAGCATGTTCGACATCTATAAGACACATCAATTGTAAATCGACAAATACTTTCTTCTTAATCGTATGTGATCAATCCAACAACCCAATGTTTCATATATTCACTAAACTTCTAGTGGATATAAAAGTAAACACGGCAATAGTAATTGACACATCAAATCATGTTTAATTCTCATATACGTAAATTTGTCAAAAGTTTTTCTTTCTTCTTAATCCCGTTAAGTCTAATCCAATGTGCTCAACATGTCATAATCTCATTAGGTATTCCTAGTCACAGAAGAATTGTTGTAAAACACAACAAAACCATTTGATGAGTTGCAATTATATTGCAAAAGAAAGAAGCTCTCAATCCTTTTAGCCCTTCTCTATAAAGTTCAACTGTTCCTGAATATGCCCTTGAAACTTGTTTCATTAAGAATGGATAATCATTCCAAATTATGGCTTCTTTATTGAGCCTCAACAAGATTTTAATTATTTAATTATTTTAAAAAATATTTGAACTATCTTGATGAGCTTACTTATTATATTAGAATGCCCAAATCAAATTTTTTTTTATTTAAGTGATGCTCCTTTTAACTCCTTTTTAAAGGTGACTCTTTTTGGAATGTTTTAGTGATATTCTAATGTGGGATACTAGCTTTTTAAATGATTTTCCTCTTTCAATGATTTAGTGATTTTTCAATGTGGGATACTAACCATAGTCATTTGTCAATTCTAAGTATTTGCTAGTTTACTTTATTATTTTCATTTAAAATCATAGACTCGACAAGATTTTAATTATAAACAATATCAATTTGAACAAAGTAAATTATTTTGGACATATTAATTGTTAGTTTTTTATGTTATAAAACAAATTACTATAGTAAATCTAATCAATAAATTAATTATTAGTTTTATCTTATTTAATTAATAAAAAATTAAACTTCTTCAAAATTTTCAATTAAAAATATTATACTATTATATAATACTATTTATTATTTAAAATTTATGTGTAAAGTATAATACAATTTTCAAAATGGAAAAAACTGTGTAATAAATTATGCGATAATATAAAAAATATAATTTATTATGTTGACAACCGAACTCCGATTTATGTTAAAACAGTTCGCTGACCCCATCTCAAGGAAATGTGAGTTCGGTCCATGCTCTCAGGTCGGATAGCTCCGTCGTTATCTCAGAAAAACGTTATGATTACCCCTGTCATATCACCCTATCAATTGTATATACTTGCCACATGTGACATCATCACCGTCCAAAACCGCCAATCCTAAGTCCTAAATCTGAAACTCCTTGCAGGTCATCATTACTTGGGGAAAACATTGACACATGGCCACCAGCCTCGTCAACCAATCACAGGAGAATTCGACGACCCGAGTTTCGAGCTCGGTACTGTAGCTGATTTGATTGATTTGATGTAATTTCGGCTGAAACTATGTATAAAGAGTTGAATAGGACTCTTGTAAAAAAAAAAAAAAGTGAATTCATATAACAACTCATAGCACAATTACAATTTCTCAACCTATTTTGTGATCTTTTTTAACAATAAATCCCTATTTTTCTTAAAGTTGGCTTAAGATTAGTCTTGCTAATTTTGACGTTAACAGTTTGGCGCTAGAAGGACGACCCCAATTGTGAAAAATAGTCTCATTCTCTCCACAAAATTCGAGAGCCATGAGTCATAGCTCAAGTTCTAGAAACCCATCTCACACCCACCCTCATGAAACGAATACTCCACCGAGTTCTCCACAACGATGAGACCCTCAGATGACCGTCATGAAGGAAGCCCTGGAAAAACTGACAAATGTAATAGGGCGATTGGAACGGAGTCAAGCCCACTTGTCCCCACCAATTACCAAGATGGAATCCCCTGTAAGGACAAAGGCAAGGCATCCCCCCACAGGAGGACTCTCTACTTTTTAAGAGGAGAATCCTCAAAAAGCCGAACTGACGAGGTCAGAAGTAAGGAATCAGAGTCGAGGAGGACTGGGAGTGTGTTCGACAAATTGAGGACCCAGCATTTACTATCCCCTACGTGAGGACAAACCAACCTCAAACGTCATTTGGAACAAACAGAACCCGAGCTGAGTGTGCTGAAAAGACGCATCGCTGACCTGGAGGCTAAAAACAAAGGTGGCACTGAAGATTATCTGACCAAACTACATTTCTCCATCACTGAGGATGTCCTTATGGAACCATTACTTGAAAAATTGAAAATCCCCCAGATGGCCGCATATGAAGGGGATGGTGATCCCCTCTGCCACCTTAACAAATACACCTCGTTGATGGAATTACAGGGGGCAAGCAACACAATTATGTGCCGGGCATTCTCCCTTGACTCTGGGAGACAAAGCTCAGAGATGGTTTAGGAGAACGCACCAGAGGTCGGTAAAAAATTGGAATGATCTCGCCACGGCATTCTTGGCCCAGTTCATGGGTTCCAAGGCCAGAACCACGCCCAAAGAACGACTAGTAAGCATTAAATATGGAAGAAGTGAA